CGTTAATAGTCATTTTCTAGGTCACAAGTTTTGGAAGGATAGTTTTTAGTAAATTAGTTCATTAGCATAAATCAAAGCTGGCTATGCAAGCTTCCGGTCTGGGTAAAAGATCTCCGTCCTCTGGTTCCCAACACGTCTTTCATGTAAATAATTTGGTAGCAGAATCAGCAAGTTTAAATTAGTCTCACAGTACCAACGTTCATCACTAACATTACATCACCGCCCCCCCACCAACCCCTCAAACGCTACATAGTCATTATGAACCTATGGTTATGGCATTGAAAAACTCAGGAACCGAACCATCAGTTGAACTAGTCAAGTCTAAATTACTTCAAGAAGATTTAAAATCTGTCAGTCCTGGTCATAACATTTTAAATAGAAATGCATTAGCTACAAAACAGAACACTAAATGTTCTGATGTGATGTGATATGTTATCAATGCCACAAACATGATCATAAAGCATCAGATTATTTTAAAAATTCTTCTAAATTCGGGAAGGGTACTAATCCGAACAAACGTGCTAATCAGATATCAAATAACAGTAATGAAAGCAGTGACTGGTGTGTTCTATCGGCATTAACTGCCAAAACTAGTGCTGATTGCTGGTATCTTGATTCAGCTTATACGAATCACATGACAGGTCAGAGAGATTTACTTCAAAAGTATAGCAAAAATGGTATGGATGTCTTTGTGGCCAACAATGAAAAGCTGAAATGGGAAGGTCAAGTAGAAGCAACAGTCATGATAGAGTCTGTTGAAAGAAAAGTTACTGCTGTTGTCCATGTACCTAATTTAAGTTTAAATAAAGGTCTAAAAATGGCTTTTTCTGAAGACGGGTGTAATGTATACAAACAGGAGGACTGTAATGTATCGGGTCATCCTGTAGCTCATGCCACAAATGTGGATGGTCTTTACAAGTTGGACATTGATCCTGATAACCAAATGTCAAGCAACTTTGCAGGAAATAGTAAAGACACAGAAGAGCTATGGCACCGTCGTCTTGCTCATTTAAGTCGGAAATCCATGAAATTATTGAAGGACAAAATGTCAACTGGTATGTCATATTCTGGTCAAGGTTCATCCTGTATTTCTAGCATACAAGGTAAGCAAACTACAACTCCTTTTTCTAAAAAGAAGAAGGGAACTCGAGCTGCAGAAATTTTAGGATTAGTGCATTTTGACTTATGCGGCCCAGTGAATGTTAGTTCGCATGGAGGAGCTCAATATTTACTAACTCTCACTGATGATTTTTCAAGAAAGACATTCGGCTACATTTTGAAGCAAAAGAATGAAGTTGTTTCCAAAATTAAAGAATGGGAAATGTTTGTAGAAAATGAGACTAGAAAAAGATTGAAGAAACTCCGTACTGATAATGGAGGTGAATTTGTGAACATAGAGCTAGAAGATTTTCTTAAAGCTTCTGGAGTACAACATCAAACAACTGCTCCATACTCACCATCTCAAAATGGTGTTGCTGAGAGGGCAACAATTTTTGAGAAGACTCGTTCTCTGCTGCATGATTCTGGCTTGGACAAAAAGTATTGGGCTGAAGCAGCTAATACTGTAATTTATTTTAAGAATCCGTCTCCTACTAAAGCTGTTTTTGGGAGAACACCGGAACAAGTGTGGACCGACAAGAAGGTTGATCTTAGTCATTTGCGAGTTTTTGGTTGCAAAGCTTTTGCTCACATACCAAGTGGACGGAGAAAGAAGCTTGATCCCAAAAGTCGTGAGTTGATTTTTGTTGGTTATTGCCAAAACTCTAAAGCCTACAGACTTGTTGATCCAAGATATCCCTCTAAGATAATCATATCCAGAAATGTTGTGTTCTTAGAGGAAAAACCAGTTGAAGGGGTAATATTGCAGGGGGAGAAGTGAGTGATAACCAATCATATAAGATTTTAGATCTATCAAATGATGACTCGGAGAGTAGAGCCATAACTGAGAATGATGTTAATGATGTCATAGCTGAGAATGTATCAAATCTAGAAAAAGAGATGTATACAACAGATGATCATGAAGCATAACCAGAGGAGAAAAGATATCCTCAAATAACACGGACACCAAAGGACATGGGACCATTTCAAGTGTATAATGTGGTTCATGATTGTACACCAATTCATCATTTGGATTTGTCAACTGCTTTTTTGAACAGACAGCGGAAAGAAGCCCTATATATTCAACAGCCTGAAAACTTTCTTGTGTCAAGAAAAGAAGACAAAAAATGTTCCTGGCCCAATGCATCAAGAGTTAGTGCAATTAATCGGACTGGATCAAGTTGATAAACATTAAGGGGTGGTGTTAGAGCGGTGGGGCACACGGGAGGGACGATGGCTAACATAGTGTCAGCGTTCGCCGCTAGAATCGCTAAGTTGAAAAATTTAAATTAATTTTATAATTAATTTTGAGTCTAAAATTTAACTTTTTAATAATTATAAAATTAAACAGTCATAACCTAACCTAACCAACCAAACTTGCTGATCCCTTATGAAAAAGTTTATATATGGCCATATAAAATTTTTTGATCATATATGGAATCCCCCATATATGGAAATCTTTAAATAAAAAAAAATAAAAAAAAAATAACAATTAAACATATTTTCACATCAAATGGTATAAACTATGCATTAAAACCATGATAAAAATTTTTTAAACAAAAATTTCAAAACAAAATTTTCTTAAAGCCATCTAGGATTCGAACCCGGGACTCCAGCGTGGGAGCCGGCCTCTTTAGCCACTACACCACAACCGCTTCATATCAGTTCACTCAACAAAACCCATTACAAATAAGAGAAGCTGTATTTGGTCTCGTAAAACAAGATTTTCTTAGACATTTTATGTCATTTGAAGAATGAAATCATTCAAATAGCCTAACTACGTGACATTGATATTTGCGGCTGTTTAATAGCAAAGGTACAATTAATTAATTATTAATATAATATTCTCCTTATTTAGGCCACTACACTTACAATTTTAAAATTATACGTCAGTTTAAAGATTTTGTTGCGTTATAATAAAATTGTACAATAGATGTATGTACAGGATTTTGTCATCTGGGTTCAAATCTGGACACTTTATTACTTTACTACTAATTACTTTAAAGGAGAAATGCCTATATTATCTGCCCCCTTACTGTACCACATTTCAACTCAATCAGTTCAGTAGTTTGTGCTTTGCGAGAGCAACAAAAATATTATATATATTATAAGAAGTGTTTGGGATTCCAGTTACAAAACCCAAATGTGGCAACAATTCCTTATAATAATTCCAGTTATTATCAAAAACTCATTTATACATGAGCATAAATAGAAAATTATTATTCCATATATGAGTAATTTAATTCCATACCTGGGAGTCATATATGGCCATATATAGACAATAATTCCATATTGGAGGATATTTATGGCCATATATGGACAATCATTTCATATATAGAAAACATGTATGGCCATATATGGACAATCATTTCATATATAGAAAACATGTATGGCCATATATGGCCAATAATTCCATATATAGACTACATATATGACCATATATGGACACCCCCATATATGGATACAACCACATCTGGCCATATCTGCTTCCATATATGGCCATAAAAAACCATATATGGCTTTATAAAAACATACATGGAATTTTGATATGGCCATATATGGCCAGAAATTACTTTTTTATAGGGGATAATATAAAAAATATATAAGATAAAAATAAAATAAATGTTTACTTATAACTTTTAATTATAAAATCAATTTTAAAATTTAGTATTATAAAATTAAACTGTCATAACCTAACCTAACCAACCAAACTTGCTGATAATACGAACTCGAGACCTCCTGAACACTAGTCCAATGCGCTATCAACTATGCCACGAACGCCACTGGAATCACATCGTCTCGTTACAGTAATCGTGTTGCCTCAAGAGAAGACATTAGCCACTAGAGATATGACGTCACCAAACCTTTAGCCATCGTCCCTCCAGTATGTCCATTCGGTGTTAGAGAAGTAATATTTCTCATCTTATCTTTACATCATCGCCTGATCAAATATTAATTGTTTTGTTTACCTTTTGTATGTTATGGTTTGGTGTAATTGTTAAAAAGATGTATTAATTATTTGTTCAGTATAAAAACGTTTTCCCGAATATTTCAGGGCTATTTATTACATTAACTAATACATAGTGTGTTGGCAACACTGCTTAATTACCAGTGGAAGACTCCAAATATCTAATGTGACTCTCCATGTTGAGAAAGGGGCCAGTGGCCTCAAAATATCCAGTGTTTATTTTATTTTGTGTTTTCTTCTGTGTTCTGTAGTGAATGAGGTGGGATGCCTACATTTCTTAAGGTAAGCCTGCTTATCCTATTCTTTTTTTTTTTTTTTTTTTTTTTTAAGAGGTTGGCGGCCTCTTTTAACCTTGCATTTGCCCGTCCTAATAGACTACTGATCTGTGCGTGGAACGTATCCAGCGAAGCAAGGGGTGAGCCGGTACAGTACAAAGGTGAACTGTACTGATAAAAGTTTGTGGCAGTGACCAGGATCCGAACCCACGACACTGCTGCCTTGGGCCCGAAGTCCGCGACGCTACCAACTGAGCCACCGACTCACCATATTCTATCCCATATTCTGAGGCAATAAGCCCTTTCTCAACAAACCTAATTTTAAATTATGTTATTTCAACTCAAACTTTGAAAATTAAAATAAACTGCACCATATTTTTGTCTTGTCCATGAAAATATTTTATCCTAACTCATGAAACCCCAAATAAAATTAAAATTTTACGATGCACGACCTAATAATCTACAAATCAAACCAAATTTAGGGCAAAAATGTTAATAACTAAGTATTTTATGACGATTTTCCTTAACCTTAACACCTACATTTATGTGGAGAAATTGCCGGCATTCCTAGAAGCAACACCACATGTAGGCCTAAGAAACCTCAAATAAAATTGTTTCACCCGCTCGAGGCACTCAAAGGGTTAATGAAAAGTATTTACCTGAGATATGGGTAGCAAGTCTCATTTTCTTCAGCATTTACAGTATGCTGACTACACAGAGCCTTGAACACCTGCTGGCGCACAGTGTCATGTATACCTGGAGCAAGATCACCACTGGGGTAGCCTCGGCCACTGAGGCAGCAACTCAGGTACACCAGCAGTCTGTTGCCCAGCCATCGACCATTCTCCGTCTCCCCTGTAACACCACATCTCCTCAGTGAGGACAAACACCTGCTGACACACAGTGTCATGTATACCTGGAGCAAGATCACCACTGGGGTAGCCTCGGCTACTGAGGCAGCAACTCAGGTACACCAGCAGTCTGTTGCCCAGCCATCCCCCATTCTCTGTCTCCCCTGTAACACCACATCTCCTCAGTGAGGACAAACACCTGATGGCGCACAGTGTCATGTGTGGAGCAAGATCACCACTGGGGCAACCTCGGCCACTGAGGCAGCAACTCAGGTTCACCAGCAGTCTGTTGCCAAGCCATCGACCATTCTCTGTCTCCCCTGTAACACCACATCTCCTCAGTGAGGACAAACACCTGCTGGCACACAGTGTCATGTGTACCTGGAGCAGGGTAACCACTGGGGTAGCCTTGGCCACTGCAGCAGCAACTCAGGTACACCAGCAGTCTGTTGCCAAGCCATCCACCATTCTCTGTCTCCCCTGTAACACCACATCTCCTCAGTGAGGACAAACACCTGCTGGCACACAGTGTCATGTGTACCTGGAGCAGGGTAACCACTGGGGTAGCCTTGGCCACTGCAGCAGCAACTCAGGTACACCAGCAGTCTGTTGCCAAGCCATCCACCATTCTCTGTCTCCCCTGTAACACCACATCTCCTCAGTGAGGACAAACACCTGCTGGCACACAGTGTCATGTGTACCTGGAGCAGGGTAACCACTGGGGTAGCCTTGGCCACTGCAGCAGCAACTCAGGTACACCAGCAGTCTGTTGCCAAGCCATCCACCATTCTCTGTCTCCCCTGTAACACCACATCTCCTCAGTGAGGACAAACACCTGCTGGCACACAGTGTCATGTGTACCTGGAGCAGGGTAACCACTGGGGTAGCCTTGGCCACTGCAGCAGCAACTCAGGTACACCAGCAGTCTGTTGCCAAGCCATCCCCCATTCTCTGTCTCCCCTGTAACACCACATCTCCTCAGTGAGGACAAACACCTGCTGGCACACAGTGTCATGTGTACCTGGAGCAGGGTAACCACTGGGGTAGCCTTGGCCACTGCAGCAGCAACTCAGGTACACCAGCAGTCTGTTGCCAAGCCATCCACCATTCTCTGTCTCCCCTGTTGCCAAGCCATCCACCATTCTCTGTCTCCCCTGTAACACCACATCTCCTCAGTGAGGACAAACACCTGCTGGCACACAGTGTCATGTGTACCTGGAGCAGGGTAACCACTGGGGTAGCCTTGGCCACTGCAGCAGCAACTCAGGTACACCAGCAGTCTGTTGCCCAGCCATCCACCATTCTCTGTCTCCCCTGTAACACCACATCTCCTCAGTGAGGACAAACACCTGCTGGCACACAGTGTCATGTGTACCTGGAGCAAGATCACCACTGGGGCAGCCTCGGCCACTGAGGCAGCAACTCAGGTACACCAGCAGTCTGTTGCCAAGCCATCCACCATTCTCTGTCTCCCCTGTAACACCACATCTACTCAGTGAGGACAAACACCTGCTGGCACACAGTGTCATGTATACCTGGAGCAGGGTAACCACTGGGGTAGCCTCGGCCACTGAGGCAGCAACTCAGGTACACCAGCAGTCTGTTGCCAAGCCATCCACCATTCTCTGTCTCCCCTGTAACACCACATCTCCTCAGTGAGGACAAACACCTGCTGGCACACAGTGTCATGTGTACCTGGAGCAAGATCACCACTGGGGCAGCCTCGGCCACTGAGGCAGCAACTCAGGTACACCAGCAGTCTGTTGCCAAGCCATCCACCATTCTCTGTCTCCTCTGTAACACCACATCTCCTCAGTGAGGACAAACACTGCTGGCACACAGTGTCATGTGTACCTGGAGCAAGATCACCACTGGGGCAGCCTCGGCCACTGCAGCAGCAACTCAGGTACACCAGCAGTCTGTTGCCAAGCCATCCACCATTCTCTGTCTCCTCAGTAACACCACATATCCTCAGTGAGGACAAACACTGCTGGCACACAGTGTCATGTGTACCTGGAGCAGGGTAACCACTGGGGTAGCCTTGGCCACTGCGGCAGCAACTCATCGGTGGTCAGGTCCACACCGCATCCTGAGGTTCTTGAAGCCCGTCACGATGCAAATGGGAGACCTGCAGACTGGAAAATTGTTCTGGCGGAAGCACACCTCTTATCTGAAGCCCTTCCAATCAATCAATATATCAAGAAATTTTTTTTTTTTTTTGCGGAACTCTCGAGTAGGTCATTCTTAATTTTTCTTGTGTCTGGGTGGGAAGTCCACTGGGCCAATGAACCTGATCAATTCTTCAGTCCCATGTGTTCTGGGTAGGTATTTCCCTTATTACACTCACTAGCTCTGGCCAGAGCAAACCCTGGAGGTGAGCATTCCCCCCAGTTTGGAAGTTCTACGGTGTTCCCCACCCCAGACATTTGAGTCGTCTTATGGCGTTATTTTTCTTCAGGAATAGGGGGAGGCCTTGTTTGTACCTTTGGAGAGGAGTGTCCTCTTTTTTTTGGGGGGGGGGGTGGGGTTGAGCTGTGACTGCGTTCCACAGATGAGTGTCACTACTCATTTTTGTTTCAAGTTGTTCATGTTTTTATAATACATGTTTTGGAAGTGTCGATGTTCTGACACCCCCATTGGACAGCTGTCTGTCAGGGAGTTCTTTTTAGGGAGCTGACTTCGGAGGCTGCGTGACTGGGAAATTGTCACCATCATCATGAATTCTATGTATGTGCCATAATACTAGATTGTTTTAATTTAGTTTTGTTCACGTTGATAATTATGTCTGAGTAATATACACCGCTATTGTCTGATGATTTGAATTTTTTATATAATTTAGTTTAGTTGAACTTGAGCACTTTTTTCTCTGGCCTTCGGCCTAGAACTGGGGGGCGTCAGACCAATTTGTCCCGAGGTCCTAGGACAGAAATTGCCCGAGATATGTCTTTGTTGAAAACCACTATTTGAGAGAAAATGTCCAAGTAAAGTTTTATTCTTCATTTGTTCAATTCTAGGCCTAGGCATCCAAAATTTGCATTTAATGTTAATGTCTTAGGCTACTATTGTTTTTAGCAATTGTTTCATTTCTGTCCCCAGTAACGTTTATTTGTTTGTCTTGTAAAACAATCAAGCATGAGACACCCAGCAGTTAAATGTTTTTAAATTCAATTATGTTTATTTCCCAGTGCCAAACTAGTCACATTTAGCTGTATCTCTTGCTTATGTTCCCTGAAATTTTGAGTCAATTTAGATAAGAAATCATTGATTTATGAGCATTTTAATGTTTGGCAGTTTTTTTTTCAGTCGGATGTGACATGGGTAACTTGTAGAACCACTGGCCTCAGGCTTTTAGTAAGGCTTGGTATGGTCTGGAAAAACTGCAGGTACATTTACCCCAGCTTTTTGTTGTAATGTCTAACTTACACATTAATCTTGCCTGCCTAATTTGTTATAACATATGGTTAATGTTATTTTCTATATTGTTATGAGTTTGTTTATAGTTGACCTATTTACATTCAGTTGTTGCATTCTATCTTATTCCCCATTAAATTAATTTCATGTTCTAACTGTCTTAATCATATTATATAATCAGGGTAATTAACCGCTGCAGCTCAACTCTGCTATTTCACCAACATCAGTTTTAAGACCATTCCTAGCAAATTCTGCCACAATTATTTTGATTTATTGGCAAAAATACATGCGTTTGTTGTCCTAAGCTAAACATTTTTTAAGTACGCAAAATGTTATAAAATGTTTGAAACAGATTTTTTTTTAAACAAAGAGATGTGAGCTGGTAGGACCGTTGAGAGTAAATAATGATTAAGATGTAAAGTTTGCATGTTCCTCTCAAACGGTGTTTGAACCTTTCCTCCACAGTTTTTCTTGTTGTTAGGTAGGACTGTGGATCGCCCCTGTTTCTGCCCAAGGGAACACACTTCCAATTTTGTTCGCTTGGGTGCTGGAAGCAGGGCATGGTTCAAACTTGTCACGTTACGGATCGTTATGGCCACCCGTAGTGGCCTTCGGACCGCAAAGGGTTAAATATTTAAACTAATGAATATTTGTTAAAAAACAACCACGCAATGTATACAGTTAAAAAATCATAACTGTTTCTTACATAAACAAAGTCAACTACGATATTACTATTTTACTGATGAGAAATAGACTGCAAAGATGATTAGGATAAAAGGCACTGACCAAAGACTACTAACGATTTCCCCGAGCAAAGCTTGGTCCCCAGATACAAAGTTAAAAAATCAACATGATACTAACCTTGGTCCAGAAGATTCTGCAGGAGAGGCACTAGTTCATGCACAGCACTGGTGTAGTCCTGCATGGCTCTGTTCCACACAGAGATTAGAGCGTCGTATAGGTTGTATTGGCGACACAATGTCAACACTTGCTGTATGTCCAAACAGGAAACATCCACCTCCAGCACACACTGCTCTAGCACCTGCAGTAGACAATATTATAAACACTAGGTATCAAAACGTTGTATAGGTTGTATTGGCGACACAATGTCAACACTTGCTGTGTGTCCAAACAGGAAACATCCACCTCCAGCACACACTGCTCTAGCACCTGCAGTAGACAATATTATAAACACTAGGTATCAAAACGTTGTATAGGTTGTATTGGCGACACAATGTCAACACTTGCTGTATGTCCAAACAGGAAACATCCACCTCCAGCACACACTGCTCTAGCACCTGCAGTAGACAATATTATAAACACTAGGTATCAAAACGTCGTTGAGGTTGTATTGGCGACACAATGTCAACACTTGCTGTATGTCCAAACAGGAAACATCCACCTCCAGCACACACTGCTCTAGCACCTGCAGTAGACAATATTATAAACACTAGGTATCAAAACGTTGTATAGGTTGTATTGGCGACACAATGTCAACACTTGCTGTATGTCCAAACAGGAAACATCCACCTCCAGCACACACTGCTCTAGCACCTGCAGTAGACAATATTATAAACACTAGGTATCAAAACGTCGTTGAGGTTGTATTGGCGACACAATGTCAACACTTGCTGTATGTCCAAACAGGAAACATCCACCTCCAGCACACACTGCTCTAGCACCTGCAGTAGACAATATTATAAACACTAGGTATCAAAACGTCGTTGAGGTTGTATTGGCGACACAATGTCAACACTTGCTGTGTGTCCAAACAGGAAACATCCACCTCCAGCACACACTGCTCTAGCACCTGCAGTAGACAATATTATAAACACTAGGTATCAAAACGTTGTATAGGTTGTATTGGCGACACAATGTCAACACTTGCTGTATGTCCAAACAGGAAACATCCACCTCCAGCACACACTGCTCTAGCACCTGCAGTAGACAATATTATAAACACTAGGTATCAAAACGTCGTTGAGGTTGTATTGGCGACACAATGTCAACACTTGCTGTATGTCCAAACAGGAAACATCCACCGCCAGCACACACTGCTCTAGCACCTGCAGTAGACAATATTATAAACACTAGGTATCAAAACGTTGTATAGGTTGTATTGGCGACACAATGTCAACACTTGCTGTATGTCCAAACAGGAAACATCCACCTCCAGCACACACTGCTCTAGCACCTGCAGTAGACAATATTATAAACACTAGGTATCAAAACGTTGTATAGGTTGTATTGGCGACACAATGTCAACACTTGCTGTATGTCCAAACAGGAAACATCCACCTCCAGCACACACTGCTCTAGCACCTGCAGTAGACAATATTATAAACACTAGGTATCAAAACGTTGTATAGGTTGTATTGGCGACACAATGTCAACACTTGCTGTGTGTCCAAACAGGAAACATCCACCTCCAGCACACACTGCTCTAGCATCTGCAGTAGACAATATTATAAACACTAGGTATCAAAACGTTGTATAGGTTGTATTGGCGACACAATGTCAACACTTGCTGTGTGTCCAAACAGGAAACATCCACCTCCAGCACACACTGCTCTAGCACCTGCAGTAGACAATATTATAAACACTAGGTATCAAAACGTTGTATAGGTTGTATTGGCGACACAATGTCAACACTTGCTGTGTGTCCAAACAGGAAACATCCACCTCCAGCACACACTGCTCTAGCACCTGCAGTAGACAATATTATAAACACTAGGTATCAAAACGTTGTATAGGTTGTATTGGCGACACAATGTCAACACTTGCTGTATGTCCAAACAGGAAACATCCACCTCCAGCACACACTGCTCTAGCACCTGCAGTAGACAATATTATAAACACTAGGTATCAAAACGTTGTATAGGTTGTATTGGCGACACAATGTCAACACTTGCTGTATGTCCAAACAGGAAACATCCACCTCCAGCACACACTGCTCTAGCACCTGCAGTAGACAATATTATAAACACTAGGTATCAAAACGTCGTTGAGGTTGTATTGGCGACACAATGTCAACACTTGCTGTGTGTCCAAACAGGAAACATCCACCTCCAGCACACACTGCTCTAGCACCTGCAGTAGACAATATTATAAACACTAGGTATCAAAACGTTGTATAGGTTGTATTGGCGACACAATGTCAACACTTGCTGTATGTCCAAACAGGAAACATCCACCTCCAGCACACACTGCTCTAGCACCTGCAGTAGACAATATTATAAACACTAGGTATCAAAACGTCGTTGAGGTTGTATTGGCGACACAATGTCAACACTTGCTGTATGTCCAAACAGGAAACATCCACCGCCAGCACACACTGCTCTAGCACCTGCAGTAGACAATATTATAAACACTAGGTATCAAAACGTTGTATAGGTTGTATTGGCGACACAATGTCAACACTTGCTGTATGTCCAAACAGGAAACATCCACCTCCAGCACACACTGCTCTAGCACCTGCAGTAGACAATATTATAAACACTAGGTATCAAAACGTTGTATAGGTTGTATTGGCGACACAATGTCAACACTTGCTGTATGTCCAAACAGGAAACATCCACCTCCAGCACACACTGCTCTAGCACCTGCAGTAGACAATATTATAAACACTAGGTATCAAAACGTTGTATAGGTTGTATTGGCGACACAATGTCAACACTTGCTGTGTGTCCAAACAGGAAACATCCACCTCCAGCACACACTGCTCTAGCATCTGCAGTAGACAATATTATAAACACTAGGTATCAAAACGTTGTATAGGTTGTATTGGCGACACAATGTCAACACTTGCTGTGTGTCCAAACAGGAAACATCCACCTCCAGCACACACTGCTCTAGCACCTGCAGTAGACAATATTATAAACACTAGGTATCAAAACGTTGTATAGGTTGTATTGGCGACACAATGTCAACACTTGCTGTGTGTCCAAACAGGAAACATCCACCTCCAGCACACACTGCTCTAGCACCTGCAGTAGACAATATTATAAACACTAGGTATCAAAACGTTGTATAGGTTGTATTGGCGACACAATGTCAACACTTGCTGTGTGTCCAAACAGGAAACATCCACCTCCAGCACACACTGCTCTAGCACCTGCAGTAGACAATATTATAAACACTAGGTATCAAAACGTTGTATAGGTTGTATTGGCGACACAATGTCAACACTTGCTGTGTGTCCAAACAGGAAACATCCACCTCCAGCACACACTGCTCTAGCATCTGCAGTAGACAATATTATAAACACTAGGTATCAAAACGTTGTATAGGTTGTATTGGCGACACAATGTCAACACTTGCTGTATGTCCAAACAGGAAACATCCACCTCCAGCACACACTGCTCTAGCATCTGCAGTAGACAATATTATAAACACTAGGTATCAAAACGTTGTATAGGTTGTATTGGCGACACAATGTCAACACTTGCTGTATGTCCAAACAGGAAACATCCACCTCCAGCACACACTGCTCTAGCACCTGCAGTAGACAATATTATAAACACTAGGTATCAAAACGTTGTATAGGTTGTATTGGCGACACAATGTCAACACTTGCTGTGTGTCCAAACAGGAAACATCCACCTCCAGCACACACTGCTCTAGCATCTGCAGTAGACAATATTATAAACACTAGGTATCAAAACGTTGTATAGGTTGTATTGGCGACACAATGTCAACACTTGCTGTGTGTCCAAACAGGAAACATCCACCTCCAGCACACACTGCTCTAGCACCTGCAGTAGACAATATTATAAACACTAGGTATCAAAACGTTGTATAGGTTGTATTGGCGACACAATGTCAACACTTGCTGTGTGTCCAAACAGGAAACATCCACCTCCAGCACACACTGCTCTAGCACCTGCAGTAGACAATATTATAAACACTAGGTATCAAAACGTGGTATAGGTTGTATTGGCGACACAATGTCAACACTTGCTGTGTGTCCAAACAGGAAACATCCACCTCCAGCACACACTGCTCTAGCACCTGCAGTAGACAATATTATAAACACTAGGTATCAAAACGTTGTATAGGTTGTATTGGCGACACAATGTCAATACTTGCTGTGTGTCCAAACAGGAAACATCCACCTCCAGCACACACTGTTCTAGCACCTGCAGTAGACAATATTATAAACACTAGGTATCAAAACGTTGTATAGGTTGTATTGGCGACACAATGTCAACACTTGCTGTGTGTCCAAACAGGAAACATCCACCTCCAGCACACACTGCTCTAGCACCTGCAGTAGACAATATTATAAACACTAGGTATCAAAACGTTGTATAGGTTGTATTGGCGACACAATGTCAACACTTGCTGTGTGTCCAAACAGGAAACATCCACCTCCAGCACACACTGCTCTAGCACCTGCAGTAGACAATATTATAAACACTAGGTATCAAAACGTCGTTGAGGTTGTATTGGCGACAAAGTGACAAAACTCTCTATACATCTAACCAAGAAACATCCACTTACAGCACACACTGCTCTGGGCATGTGAATCAGGCTTTACAACAAGGACAAATTCTGCCAAACTTTCCCTTTTCCTACCCTTCGTCCCAATAGACGGTGGGCGGGGCTTCACACTAGGGATGGACGAGATTGAATTTTTAGTTCGAGACGAGACGAGACGAGATTTTTTATTTCTCATAAAATTTCGAGACGAGATCGAGACGGGATTTTCCTTCTCATACACAATGGGAAATGCACGTTCAAAATTTTTACCTGATTTTGTAACATTGTTAGATGACTGTTTAAATACAAAAATAATGATAATAGGCAAGAATATTTACGATCTTTTATTAAAAAACATCAGCATAACATTTTTTTATTAATCACGCCTAACTTATTAAAAATGCGTACGATTAGGAAACATAGTGATATCAGTTAGGATAGAGTTCAACTTATCCTCAAATAAAATAAATCATAAAATAAAAGCAATATTAATTTTTATAAAATAGTTACTTGTTTTGACTTTTTATAGAAATAAAACATTCCTCACACTGCTTACACTTA